CTGCTACACCAAATTCACGAGCCATGCACACTGCAATCACTTACTCGCCGAGTTCCAAGTCTGACTCTAACTGTGATTCTAATGAAAATAGTGAAAGAATTGTCCACCCTCAAGGAATGAAGCATAAAATACCACATCGTTTCTGTGAGGTTATGTGCATGAGAAATTCTAAATGTTGCATTTGCTTGGACTCTATGTATTTAGGAAGATCAATTGTTAAATGTCAAGGTAATTTTTTGTTTTATTCTTGTGCTTTCTGAGTGACTTGTTTGTCTCGTTACTTTGCTGCTGAGCTTTAGTTTACTTAATTTGCTGTTAGTGCTGTTAAAGAAAAAATTTATCACTTCAAGGATAGAGATAAGACTCAAACCTAGCTCATAAGCTTGCTTGACCCATCAAAAACTTCTGAAAAAAATTTCTTTATTTCATCCAATAATTTTTTTTATGAAAAAAAATCTGATGACCTTATGTCTTAAGATTTTTTTTTCTTTTTTCAGTCAATCTTTATTCTTATATAAAAGTCATATCTTGAACTTTTTTCTACGTTGTGCTTCATCATTGCAAAAAACGTACTTATATCTTCCTCAAAGAATGTGTCGGTTAGACAAATTTCTGAACTATGTCTCTCCCTTATCTCTATCAGGTAAAAAAATATCAAAACCCTAAGTCTTTTAATTTTGTGGATATCTGTAGGCACTTTTGGCCCGCAATTAGTACACAACTTATGGTAATTTAAGTACCTGGAAGTAATTTCATGCAAAACTGTTTATGCAATTCCAGCTTATTCACCAGAAAAAGTTGACGGTGTAAAATATCTTTTCTCTCTAACTCCATTCTCTCATATCAATGTAACTTATTAAATCATCACTGACAACTGAAGGCCACTCCTTGCTTCGTTAGTTTTTTGTCAAATGTTTTTTATCGCACCTTCTGACCATACAATAATTTGACTTCACACTTTCAACATAAATCTCAGTAAATGGACAATGAATTTCATTATGCTTTGCGTTCCTAGCATTAAAACAAATTAGATTATTTGGTACAGTCAGCTAGTTCCACAACCATTATCAGCAAATCAATCCAAATTGTTTAAATGGAAAAAGCTATGGATAAGAAAAGCTTATATATATGTTTTGCCACTATTTCTTGCAAAAAAGAACGTCATAGAGCTTTATTTCCAGACATGCATCACACTTTTCATTTCATTATGAAAAACGTAAGGTTTTAATTTTTTTCCTGACTGAAATTGTTCTATATCTTATATTCATGGTTATAATTTTTGGTAAATAACAGCTATATGCAAAGAGCTTGAAAAATCTTAAAATTTTTGCATGCCATGCTGGGCATGTTAGTCTTAAAACATCCTTTTTTGAACATTCACTACATATTTGAAAATATTAAGTAATAGCTATAAAAATAACAAAGCTCTTTCACATTTCAAATTTCTGAGTTTCACATTTCAGTAAAAAAGCTTAATTAAGCTTACTTTGTTTATTAAATATTTAATTATATAATTCAGTAACATTTAAGTCTATCTTATTAGGTCAATTTTTTTCTTTCTATTTTGGTGCCACTTATCTGTTCATAATTGTTAAAATTAGAAGGGGCACTTAAATGTTATTTCTAATTAAGGAGTTAAATATCTGGTGATGCATGTAAGATAAAAAATACATGCCTGATCAATTTCTTTTTTTTACCTGAAATGTAATTTATAGATTAGATAACATAATTTTTAAGTCTTATTCATTATACGATATTAATTTTTTCCTTATTTATTATTTTTATTTTTTGTAGAATGTCTGTTAGAATGTCATCTGAAATGTGCTTCATCATTGCCAAAAACCTGTGGATTACCGTCAGGTTTCATGCAGCATTTTAAAACTGCTGTAAGAAGTTCTCTGTCAGTCGATAAAGTTGAAGAAATTCCAAACATATCAGAAGGATGGATAAAAGTGCCAAAGTAAGTGTAAACTTAGTACTATTTACATTTGGTTTTATCACAATACAGTAGTTCCAAACAAACAATTGTGAATTAATGAATAGTTAAAACTTGGACTATTATACTAAAAGTGAACTACTGTATTAATTTTGCATAGTAATTACAAGACAAATCTACTTTATTTCTGCCAGACCAACTGCCAAATGAATTCCTTAGGTTATTTACTTTAGATTTTTGTTTAAATTTTCATCAAATGTTATGGTTTAGTATACAAGGTCGTAATAATTTAAACATTGTATATTTCAAGTTTGTATCTATTATATTTCTGTTAGTTTACAAATCTGTTAGTTTACAAACTGATATTTTAGTTTTTCATAGTAAAAAGTAATAAAAAGAACTTCTGAATTGTTCTTGAACAATACCTAAGAACACCTGAATAAACATTCGAATTTAAACCAAAATTGAGCATAATTTATCCTTTAATTACTTACATTCATTTAATACAATTATTTGTCTTTTTCTTAGAATTAACAAGCATGACTGGGATCGAAGATATATGCGCTTTGAAGATAGTGTTCTTTACATATTTGAAACTGCAGAGGAGAAGGACCCTGATGAAGCTTTACTGGAAATAGACTTTTTGTCAGATAAAGCATCGATCACAGTATCAAGTTCGGTTTCTGTTACTGAACTTCCTTATGCAGCCAATTCAGATTTACCATTTGTTCTGAAAGTTGAATCATTTCCCCACACTGCATGCTTGCCTAAAAGGTAATTTTCAGGTGTTTTCAATTGTTGGAATTTTAAATTCTGAAAGTTTTATAAAAGTTAGCATAAATAAAATCTTACTTTATCATTATTTGTTGAAATGTTTCAGAATAATTAGATTAAAAGCAATATATAATTCTCATCAGAATGTTTTCCATAGTAACTGAAATGTAAATTATCAACTGTAATTTGATCAAAGTCACAAAGCTCGAGGAGCATCATGTCTAATATAGTACGGTTTGTAATACCTAAAGTGTCATCCACTAGAGACAATCAGTGTTATCTTCTCTTTTTTCATTGATTTTTTGTTGTTGCATTAGAAATCATGTATTATCTGAAGTTTCATCAATCTAGTTATAGTTCAGTTCTTTGTTTCTCAGGCTATCTTTTTTACGACACTTTTATGACCAAGTTATCAATGATTCTACTATGCATTTTTAAATTTTTGTAAAAAATATTGAAAAAAAATTTATTTGGAATTTCGATTAAAATTACAAGTTTAAGTTTTTTTCCCTTTCTCTGAGATATTTATTCATGATTAGATCTTAGACAACTTTTTCATACTCTGTTTTTTTAAAAATATTTTTTGATCATCTTGATGATGCAAGTTTTAAAGTTATTTCTTATTTTGATTAGTCAAGTAACATGCTTCTAATAATGTTATGTCTATTAAACTTCATTGTTAAATTCTATAAAAATTTTATGTGCTGCTCAATTTTTTTTGTTAAAATTATTGGTATTATTTTTTGCATTCAATTTAGCATGTATTGCTCTAGCGTTTCCAATGTTAGTAATTTAATCTAGTGTATTATCTCTTTCTTTCTCGCTTTTTTTAAAAATCATTTCCTTGTTCTTATTTTTATTGCTTGTTCATTTTAGGATCTTGTATATCATGACATCTAACTTCAATGAAAAGCAAATGTGGGTATCTGTTTTGGAAAAAGCAGCTGAAATAAGCCTTTCAGAAGTAGACAGTAGTCATAAAGTAAGTTAAGTAAAAAGTACATAGCTTTATCCTTTCACCTAAGCTGTTTAACCTATATATGAAGTATGTTACAGTTTTAAAATTGGAATCACTATTTCAAGCCTGTTTTAAAATCTTTTGTAGAATCCAGTATTTAAATCTTCACTGATCCTGATAGTGTATAGAAATCAGTATATATGTATATATAAATGTACAGTCGAACCTCGATTTCACGAATTTTTCGATATCTCGAAGAGAAAAAAAATTCCCTTCAAATTTCCTACACACTCAATGTTAAAAAAACTTAACGACTGTCAGGGGACTGAAGTAAATTGACCTATAAATGAAAAGGTGTATAACTTAAAATTAAAAAAAGTAGTTGTTAGTAATTAAAATTGAGAACAAAACAACTAATCTGTTCTTTTGCTAACTTTACTTTAGATAGTCCCAAACGTTTATCAAACTCTTTCTGAATGTCAATTTTTTTTTTAATAAATGTGTAACTCTTTCAATCTTTTTGAAGGAAATGTTAAAAAGTAAGTATTAAATTTTAAAAATGGCAGGCAATAGGCAAGTTGCATACTAAGGGAGTGAACAAGAGGAATATGGGAGGCATAAAAAATTTGATTGCATTTATATAATGCTTATTAACTCACTCCCTCGATGTGTGCATGTTTTTTCAAATGTATGGCAATCAAATTTTTTGTGCCATCCATATTTCTCTCACAAGTGCCACTAACCGTAGATGCTTTACCATATGTAATTTTCTTCCTTCCCAATATATATGAAAATATCTTATAAAATTTTTTTTAATGTTATGAATTAAGTGTTTTTTTTTAATATATTACTAATTGATATAGTTCTTTTTGTTTGATATGTAATCCTTAAAAAAATTTATGCAGAAAAGGTATTAAAACAGTTAATTAATTTTATCCATTTTGTTACAAGTGATAACTCTTTATTACATAATTATATAAATTTGTATTTGAATATTTATAAATGACGTTTCTTAGAAATTTTTTAATCTCCACTTTCTTTATTTGTATTCTGAAAAGTCCAAATAAATTATAAGATTTTTAAAATGACATTCCTACTAATTAAAATGCATTAACACAGCAATAATCTTATAATAAAATACATTTAAAAAATAGTAATCAATTTTAAAAAACATTGTAGCTATTACATGTGTCATTATTTTTGGAAAATAATATAAGTCTAAGGTTTTTAAGGTTAAAGTTTGAATAACTTTAAAAGTATTGGAAAGATTAATCAATTTAGGTGATTTTTTAGCACTATAATTTGATGAAACATCAGATAACAACAATGATAATTATGGTCGGAAAAATTTAAATAAGCTTTTTATTAGCTCGAAATAGACTTATTCCACTGTCGGAAATTATGATTTACATATTAAAATGCTTTGCAAAATTTTAAAATTAGTGATTTTTCTTTTAAAAAGTCATTAATTTTTTTTTAAAAATCAATTAGTTTAAAACTATGAACTCTACCTGAAATGTTTTTCTTATTAAACTGCAACTGATTACTATTGAAAGATTAATATTAGACTTAAAGTAATGGAAACCTTGTTGCATCTCACTCTATGGCACACAGAATGCTGTCTCCCTTATTATGTGAATCCCTGTATTAAGCATCGAATTATTTCAATTCTGAAACAGAGCAAAAGCACTTTTCATTGAAGATATATATAAAAAGAAAGTCCTTAGTTATAAAATTTCTTGATGGAAAAAAAGTAATGATCTAAATCAACTTAAAAAAATATATTCGTTTTTATGAAAGTTTTCTGTAAGTTTGCTTTATTTAAAAACTAGAATGGTAGTTTTTAAAAACTAAAAATCGTAAACATTAAAATGTTAATCTGTACAAAAATTAACGAATTTAATGTTGATTAAGAATTGTAAAGAAGCGTCCTCTTGTTTCAATTTTTTGTAATTTTATATTCCTGTGGTTTTGGTCTAGCTCCAATGCTAAACAGTTAAGATAAGCATTGAAAAAAAAAATTTAGTTTGTTGCAGAGAAAAAAAAATTTCTCTTAATATTCGTTTTTTTATTTTATTTGAGAGCTCTTATCTTCTCAAGAAATGTTTTAATAACTTAATGAAATGAAAAGTCTCGGACAATTATTTTGCAATGAAAAGATAGTTTAAAATCTTTTATTTACTTTAAAATTTATTTCTCGGTCTTTTATTAAAACTAAAAATATTTTATTTTTTTCAGTGGTTTTCCATGTCTTTTGATGCAGCCTGAACAAGTTTGTCATTATTTGATACCAATTATGTGTTCTTGAATTTTAAAAAATTATTAATCTAGTAGATAAGTAATTTAATTGTAAAACAGTTTGTAATAACTATTTTTTTAAAATGGCAATATTATAATTTAATGTTACAAGACTAAAATTAATAAGTTCATGCACAGGTTTTAGTTCAAATTTTAACTTATGAACAAAATGAAAAGCATAATGACAGTAAATAAAAATCGGCTATGCACTATTTTCCTCTTTTAAAACAGAATAAGATTAATTATTTGTTGCAGTTATCATGGGGTTAAACACAAACTTTTCAAACTAATTTAAAATTTCCTTAGGGTTTGAAAAGTATATAATTTCCTGGAAACCTGCTTGCTGAAATATTTTAGTGTTCACTGAGCTGACCTGCAACCTTTGAGCCTCTGAAGAAGGGCATGCATGGTAAAATATTACAGCAAACTCTATAGTTTTGGATCGCAAAACAGGACTTCGGATTTACTAGCGAAGTGGCAACATAGTCAAAGGCTCGAGCGAAACAGCTCTTTCAGCCAAGTTTTTTCGTCCAACATAACTTTTGGAAACGTGGAACAGAACATAGACCCTGCGGAAAGTCTTGCGGAGGTGTCTTTCCACACCGATCTCCTGGTGGCAATCAACAAGCAAAATGATCACCCTGCAGTTCTTAGACAAGCAGCACTTGAGAGAATCTACACTATCCCAACGGAGGCTGTTGTTCAAATATATACGGATGGAAGCAGGGACGAAGACAATCACACCAGGAGTGGGATCTTCATCAAATCTCAGATAAGCGAAATTAAGATCCAGAAAAGGAATCCCGACCACTGTTCCGTTTTTAGGAGCGAGCTTATCGCCATCGATGATGGACTTGCCTCAATACTGTCTCTTTCAATTCCGAAAGAGATTTGGATTCTTACCGACCATAGAAGCGCTGTTCAGCACTTGGCTAGCTGGCACAGAGTGAGGGACAATACTAGCACGAACATCCTTTGTAAACTTTTACACCTCTCCAAATATTGTCGAATTCATGTACAATGAATACCCTCACAACATGTAGATATATCAGGCAATGAAATGGCAGATAGTCTTGCCAAGGCAGGTGCAGCTGAGGCCACTGCGCCTCCAGTGAAATGAACTAAAAATATTGAGAAACAACAATTGAACAAATCAATTTTTCAAAAATGAACAATGCTATTTGAATTAGAAAGGGCACCAAACACAAATAATAAAAGTAATAATAATTTTTCTTCCATGGTTGATGACATCCAACAAGAAGACACACCGTGCCCTAGTGCCGGTGTTGTACATGATTGGTTTGAAGAGTGCGAGGGATCGCAGCTCTTCTTAAGTCTCCCCCTTTCCAGTCACCCGATCCCAATCCAGTTAAATGTGTGTGAGATATGCTTGGAAGACACAGTATCTTGTAATCCTGATTACCTAACATGGTGCCTATTTTAATAACGAAATTATTAAACATATCAAGATGCCCATGCCAATTGGAATTACCATTGTTTGAAGGAGGAAGGCGATTTAGAAGAAATTAGAAGGTGGAGGAAGGTATTTTGGTTCCTGAGTAGTTAAAATCCTTATCACATACCCACAACTTCCGTAATTATTCTACCATGTTTCTTAAATCAAGAAGCGCGAATCATCAGAGCTTACTTATTGAGGTTGGGTGTTTTCTTTAAACTTTATAATTACTTTACGTTTTTTTGCCACAAACAATTTTGGGATATTTTTTGTATCTTAAGAAATCCTAATTTGAAAAAGGATGTGTTTTTTTTTTTTGTAGGGAGGGGTGTAGTGGAAAAAATCATATGGGGTAAGCCAAGAAATGGGGCACTTTTAATGGTTTTTTGATAAAATCTAATTTTTTTCTCAATTTGCTGTTTTTCATTTAAATAAAACACTTTCATTGTAAAAGCATATCAACAAAGTTCATATGCTTTTAAATTTGGTTAAAAAATTTTAAAAAAAAAATCTGTGGGCAGGCCTGTTACATTATTGGTATTGAAGGCATGTTTGATATGAAATTCTTAAATCTACTGCCAAGTGTATGGAATTTCCCATCACCTTTTTCCATCTCAAATAATGAAATAAATTTAAATGTATTACTTAGTAATAAAAAAAAATAGTAACTTGTTGAAATTTTCAGCTTTATTCCACAAAAATTACCACTATATCAGTGCACATGTTACCAAATCAATAGCGATAGCTAACCAAGGCCTATATTATTCTCAACCCATTAATAAAATAACATTTTGAATCCGAACTTAAAGCTAAACTAACCATGTTAATTAAATAGAAGAAACTCATTCAAATTGATTTTTGATTAGCATAAACATTTTTATACTGGTTCAATTCAGCCTGCAATAACATTGAATTTACTTTAATATTGATTGATTGTTGAGAGACAGATTGGGGATATATTAGATATAAAATAATTCCGTTCATAAAATTACTGCAATAGTTAATTGTTTTAGTTATTTTAAAAATAAAAAATATTTTTAAATCTAAATTGCATTTTGTATTTAGCTTATGTATGAGACACCAGGTAGATTTTAAAAGTTTACTCTAATTTTTTTTAAATTGAGTGTTAAAAATTTTCGATGTTTATAAAAAGAAAAAAACCACTACATAAAAAGAAACAGAATCAAAACTGCTAAAAGCTCGTTAAACTCTTCATTCAAAGTTTTTTATTATTATTATTAATACATTTTGATTCTCTAAACGAATAAAAAAATTTTTTTTTAATTATTAAAGTTATTACCTAAGACTATTAATTAATACTAAATTTTCATTACAGTTTCTCTATAACATTTTACTAAAGTAACAAAGTAAAGAATAACTGAATATATTTCTAATAAATAACTATAATAATAAGAAAACTTTCAACAGCTATTTTTTTAACTTTACAAATGCTACAAAATCTTGCCTTGCAATTTTAGAAAAATTAATCATTTATTTTTCAAGCATGCAAATTTTACAATATACAAACTGAAATCAGTAATTTCCTCTTATCCATTGGATGTCACTGTTTTTAAATCCTTGTTTTTGTCATGTCTCTTTCAGTATTAAATATTTTAAAAGTTACGAGTTTTCCGAAGATTTACCGGTGAGTTTTAACTTCTTATCCTTTGTTTTAAACCTCTCATCCCATGAACATATAGTTTGTCTGAAATAAGAACTCCCCCAGACATTCGTCTGGACCTGTGGCGGTGACCATGGTAACGAGGTATGACTATTTCAAGAAGGGGTGCCGGGTCACTGTTTTGGAGTGGTTTCGACTCTGGTCGGAGAGAGAAAGGGAATCTCTTTCTTCGGTCTATTGGGTTATTCCTAGAGGGAAGCTACCCTCCCTAAAATGCACCATTCTTGTTTCTGTAGCATCAGGTGACCTCAGACTTTGTGGCGGGAGGAGTTCTTAGCTTAGACAAACTATAGATATTTCCACCTGTTGAGAAAGACTATATAAGCATGGAATTACTTGTTTCCACCCTACCAGTATGTCAGTTTAGGAGTTTGGTTGCATTTTATCCCATATTCCCAGTTATCTTGTCTCTTTCAACGATAAATATTTCCAAAAATTTGGAGGACGAGATCTGAAAGTTAAGACACTGTAAGGCTAAGCTTTTACAGCTTATTCTGTGTTTTATGCCACCCACCCCTTGACCATAAATATTTCAGACTGTTCAATGAGACTGCATAAACATGCGACTGCTTGCTTCCTCCCTCCCTATTACTAAAAAAGTTAAGGATTGCATATATCTCATTTTCCATGCTTAGTTTCCTTCCCACACATTTTGATTGTTTCGTATTTTTATATTTATTGATTTAAATGTTTCCACCATTCAGCTGAGAAGACTTAGATTTTTGGTTGCCCTTTAATCCATTTTCTGTGTTGAGTGTTTTTTCCATAGATTATGAAAGTTTCGCATTTTCGATCTTACGAGTATGAATGTTTCCATCTTTCCACTGAGATAGTTTAGAATTTTGTTTTGCATTGTATTCCATATTTCACCTTTACTTCTGTTTTCTTATTCTTTTTTACATTTTGAATGAATGTACATTTGAATGAATGATTGTATTTTTAATCCTTGAGTGTGAATGTTTTTACCCTTCCACTGATATGGTTTAAGATTTTGGTTGCATTTTATTTCGTGTTCTGCGTGGAGTCTTTTTTTTCTCATACATTTTGAACATTTCATATATTTTCCATACATTTTGAATATTTCATATATTTTCCATTCATTTTGTAGGTTTCGTATATTTTTCATGCATTTTGAAGGTTTCTTTATTTTTTCCATACATTTTGAAGGTTTCGTATTTTTTCCATAAATTTTGAAGGTTTCGTTTTTTCCCCATACATTTTGAAGATTCGTATTTTTTCCATTCATTTTGATGGTTTCGTATTTTTTCCATTCATTTTGATGGTTTCGTATTTTTTCCATTTATTTTGATGGTTTCGTATTTTTTCCATTCATTTTGATGGTTTCGTATTTTTTCCATACACCATATTTCCGTACATTATATTCATACCCAAAAGATAAGAAAAAATGAAACATTTGAAATCTATGGAATAAATCTTCAACACAGAATATGGAATAAAGGACAACCAAAACCCTAAATCTTTTTAGCTGAACGTTTAAAACATTTAAACTCAATGGATGTAAAAATACAAAACAATCAAAATGTGTGGGAAGGAAACTAAACATGGAAAATGGGATAAATGCAATTACACTCCTAAGCTGTTTTAGTGACAGGGAAGAAGCAAGCAGTCACGTGTTTATGCAGTCTCATTGAACAATGTGAAATGTTCAAGGAGTGGATGCCATCTAGCGCAGAATAAGATGTAAAAGCATAAGGCTCAGTCTTATAGTGTCTTAACTGGCAGAACTCATCCTCCAAATTTTTGGAAATATTTAGCGTTGAAAGAAACAAGATAACTGGGAATATGGGATGAAATGCAACCAAACTCCTAAACTGACATACTG